TCTACCACTGGCTCCTCACAACTGACAAACACCGCCAGCAAGCAAGAGACATACCTCTCACCTACTCCATGTAAGTACAGGACACTGTCAGATCGTTTAAAATGGCCACATCTGAGCAAAAGAAAAAGGACTTGTGGCACATTTATAATCATGAAATGCTGTCATCCGAAGAGATCTGAGATGTCAGTCAGTGAAACCTCACTTTCCAAGTGAGAAACGGAGGTACAGTGAGGTTAAGTGGCCTGCCCAGGGTTCACCCCAAGACATGTCTGGACCCAGTGTTTTCTGAGACTGACAATCAGTCAGAGAGGCTGGAGCTGATTTGGAGCTGACCCCATGCTGGCAGAACAAGGCTGGGGCAAGTGAGGAGGGCACAACCCCTGGGAAAGAGGGGTCCTATGGCTGAGAGGTATGACAAAAGGTTACAGAGAAGATTGACAAGGCCCTACCCTGAGTATGAGAGACAGAGGGGAGCGTCCGATCAGCGGCCGCTGCTGTTCACCAGGCCATGAAACTCCTCCCAGGCCCTGGCAAACCAGAGACAAAAAACATAATAGCACATTCAGATCAAAAGCTTTTTAACAGAGAGAACACATAACCCCACATCCCATTCCAGATACCCTCAAGGTCAAGTGCAGCCCACAGTACCTGGAAGCATAGCAATGAGCGTTCCCACCTGGACTTTCCCTCAGATTCACAGTAATGCCAGTGCCTTTAGGGACAGCTGGCACTTGTCCTGGAGGCTCCACTGGTGAAGACTGGCCCTCACTATTCCCGCGAGACTTTGTATCCACTCCTTCAACAAGTCTACCAGGGAGGCCAATGAGGTCAGAGATAAGCTCAACCATCAGAGAGAAGACACCCCCGATTCTCTGGAGCAAGGGCAGCCAGTGGGAGGTGAGGACAGCTGGCAGGAACTTTCTTATCGGGCCTCACCTTGAGGTTAATGGCAGGGACCCGACAGCATTATGGTGTCTAAAGATGCAATGGGGAAACTACCTCTCAGTTTTTACATTTCCAACCTTCTGACCCTTCTAACTTCAGACCCCAAATTTGTACCAGGTTGTTTCAGAATATACCCATGTAAGTCTCTTAAAATTTAAGCTGTGTAAGAAAGAAAAATTTAAGCTGTGCAGGTCACAGGTCAACATTTTCAGGAACAATGCTCATGACTTCCACGCTGATTAACTCAGAAACAGGGGTTAGGAGGACTAAGAATGTGACCGAGGGGTACACAGTCTCTCAGAGTGTGCTCAACAAAGAGCCCTTGGCGACTGCTGGCTGAAAAACAGGAGAAACTGAGTCCCTATGCATCCGAAAGCCCTACCACCTCATTTTCTGAGGAAGTGATGTCCTAACTTTAGCCCCAGCCACTTCTCAGCCCCACTAGGACAGAATGTCTGGTAAGTCCCCTGGGAATTGTATATATGGAGTTATTTGAGGCTTCTAAACCTAAAATTCCTTTTTGCCAATTATTCATCCTTGGTTTAAAGGGATGACAATACCCCGGATGACAACATATTGTGTCACTTACTACAGGCTTAGATTATGGCCACTAAAATACAATTTTTACCAGACTTTCTAAAGGTAGCTTTTCTTCTTTTTTAAATAGGGAGAGATTAAATACAGAGACTTGGCACAACAAATTCACTCTTCTAGGTGATACTTATACGTGTTTCATCAGTATTTCTCTTTTGAACAGGAGCATTTATAAATTCATTATCTACCTCTTAGAATAAGAAGTTGATGTACAGTTAATGGTTTCTTCAAAGAATATTACCAAAATTACAAATATATGATAACTGAAGAAAGTATAAAACCACCAAACAAGTGTGCCAGTCTCTGTTAGTTCAAACAATTTCCACATCAAGAAATCTGTTTCACAGCCCATTCTGGTGACGGGAACGCGATGACGAGCTCTGTGAGTCCAGGAGTGACATCAGAAGGCCCTTTCACTTCATTCCAAATTAAGACACGGGCAAAGCAAAATCTGATGCTTGGGCAATGACCCAGGAAACCCCCCTCTCATTTTAACATTGAGATTTAAATTCTATCTTAAGCGACTTAAATGTCCAGAGAAATTACATGGTTTTGTTGAAGCTTCATCCCTTGTATCCTTTTGTTTCCAGAAAGGCCTACGCTAGTCCAAACAGAGCAGTTCTCTGTCAAAAACCTACACTAACCCATTCTGGTATTAAACTGGCCTCCCATTTTCTTCAGAAGTATCTTCCTCACATATTAAACCTCAACATGAGGAATCTGGGTGAAGAATTTTCCTCACATGGATACAGTGGAAATAAATTAGTTGTTCATAATCACTGGTACAATGTAGGTCAACAAATCACTTGCCTAAAGCTAGGTGCGAACATTCTAGCTCTTTTCCATATGACATCCCACTCATACTGGTAATATTAAAACTTGCTTCTTTTAAAGGTAAAAAAAAAAGAAGTTACTAGTAAATGTTAAAAGTGTCATATGAATGAAGCTTCTAAAAGAATAACTGAGATTAATATAGCCTACAGAGAATTTTGAACAATTTCAAATGACAGAATCAAAAGAGTCCTTTAAAGACCACTCGTTTCAGCTCACTTACCAGAAAGCAAACTGAGAGCAGAGGTCCATTTCTGTGTAACTCCGAATGTGTCCCACCCTCCCACCCCCTAAAGCCTGTTCATAGTCTTGCACTCAGCTGGCCCGCAATACTCATGGACAAGTTCTGCCTCCTGCTAGTCTGGGCTTTCTTTACTTTGAACATCAGTAAGGAGTACCTTTCATAAGGCGGGCCAGCAGTTAACACTGGTGTGATCCAGTGCCATCGGGTTGATTTAGCCACCACACAAGGGATATTTAGTTGGTGCCTACAAAGTTCCATGTGTAAGTATAATGAAATCAAAAAAGGTTAAAGAAATTCCCCATGATTTGACCCGTTTCTCCTCTAGAATAAAGAAATAAAGTCACCTACCCTCAACTTTCTCTGCAGAGAGGTCTGGTCACTTTTCCCAACACTGTGGCCTACTGAGTGAAGCTGAGTGAAGCTGGCCCTGTCTTCCCCTCTTCCATCCGGGCCAGATGCACAAAGGGATTCAATGGCACTATTCCAAAAGTTATTTCCTCACAAAAACTGTGCCCAGTTTTATCCTGGGGGTCCCACGATTCTGGGTTGCAAGTCTGTCTTAGATTTCTTCTCAAAATGGAGGACACAGTGAGGACCCAAACCTATAAAACCTTAACTGCGATTGGCCTCATTAGGAGCCATGCACCTGAAGCGAACACTCCAACAAGTTTCCCGTTTCTCAGTGGGACCTGCTATTGACAACACAAGGGTAGGAGGCAGCAGGCAGGCGTCCCCTCTGTAGCAAGGAAGCTCTGGTGATGTGAGCAGCAGTGTGTGCCTCTCAGCTCACCTAGGAGCGCAGCAGGAAAAGGCCACAAGCAGTTTGATTAGGGGCAGGCTGGAAAACCAAACAGTTGAAAAAGGACATTGGAAACACAGCAAGGTGGAGGTATATTTGACTGAGAAATCTAGGCCACTCCTACAAAAAGTCCCACCAGAACACTTGGGAGTATTCTCCAGAATACCTTTTTCCTTCATATTCCCTTAAATTCTCAAGTCCCAGGAGCTGCTGTTCCTTGGCTCAAGCAAAGCCATACCTGTGAGAGGCACAGGAAGGGAGTAAAGCAGACCAGTTCTGACTTCTGTTCACATGTGACAAGGATCGGAGGGGGCTCAAGGTCAATTTGGTGCTTTCTGATCAACTTAGGAAGGTGATGTCAAGCTCATCCTCTGGACCAATTATATTAGGTGAAATTAAGGTCAATACATGTAACATAATAGCAGAAGGCAAGAGGGAAAAGGCCATAAGAGGTAACTCTTTGACAAATGCTGGAAACAGAGAATAGGCATTTCCACATACCATTTTCTAGAGACTTCAACCAATTTTGTATGTGCAATAAACAAAGAAGCAATGACACAAACACCTCCAGAAAGTTGAGCCCAGGGTGCTGTCCCAATGTGTGTTTTGTGGGATCACAGGCCACGTGGAGACTGGTGGTCAGTCAGGATGGTACAAGCATAGGGTGTCGCTGCCAGAATGGAACAGCCACTTTGGAAACTTCCACATTACGCCCATAGCCCCCTTCACAGATACTATCAGGCAACCTGACCCAGTGTCTGCAAAAATGTTTATTTTTGGTTTTGGTGTAGCTCCCAAGGAAGCCTGAAGTAACATGAGGCCTGCTGCAATTGTACATGCAGGTTAGGGCCTGCAGGCCAAGCTGCAGGTTACACAAGCCAAGCCACAAAGCATGTGAGAGGCTGGCACGTGCTGCAGTCAGATACTTAAGGAGCAAACTCACCGAGGATGAAGATGCTTCCCCTCCTCAGATTCTAAGGCACAATTACCCTGGGAGAATGGGAAGGGCTAGAACACTGAGACCTTGCAAGCAGAGTTAGCCCAAAGAGGAGGATGACCTGGCCCTGAAGGGAAAGCGGAAGGGAGAGACTGGCAAAGAGCTTGTGGCTTGGGCAGCCCTGGCAGTGAGAAAACCCCATTAACACCAAGCAAGGAAGCTATATATGTACAGCCACACACAGATGGAAGCAGGAATTTACCTCCAAGCAAGAGATTTCTTTGAAGTAAAGGCAAATGACGTCAGCAAAGCAAAGGCCGAGGATCCCCCCCCTTTCCAACCTTAAGGATTTTCAAGCCGAATTCTACATCAGAAATCACTGTTCTTGTTAATCAGCGTGACTAGATGGAGACTGAAATTCAAGTACCAGAAAATGGGTCTCATGTTGAGAGCTAGATGTCTCCTCATTATGTCAGACCTCAGCAGAAGTAGAATACCACATGACACTGTACAATGGGCTTATGGAAATGAGGCTGCATTCCCCCAATGGCCCTCCATGGAGAAGTCTGTGCCGTTCCTTAATATGGTGACAGTCAGTTTGAAAAGCCACTTCTTTGATGCACCATAAAGAGCAAGAGCATGAGACAAGCTAGTTTAGCACCATTTATTAAGTGATCTCAGCTGTTGTAGTAGCTGCTGTGTGTCAGCCTGTTCTTAAAACATAAAATGCTCTTCCAATTCCTCTTGTCCAGGACAGAAGAATCTTCCAGGTAGCACGCCAACAGAACAAGAGACTCCGATGATGCCAGCTTCAATGATGGTGCCATCCAGAGAGGGAGAAGGTCACGGCACATTCAACCGCGGCTTCCAGAGGTTTTGAAAAAGGAGCCTTTGGGGGCCCAGCCTGCCTGGCATTCTAGTGGAAGTGCAAAAGGTTGGCACATTGGGAGAGGAAAGAGAGGGAGACGCAGGGAAAGTAGCATCTGGGTGTCAAGGAGGGTTTTCTGGTCCCTGTAGCTGCAGGCTGGAGTACTAGGCAGACCTCTGGATAAAGCAGTGAGCAGCAGTCTACGGCAAAAGCCCACAGGCTCTCCTAGACTCTAAGGACTTGAATACAGCTCTACAAGTCAGGAAAAACCACCTCAGGGCATTAGCAAGGTAGAACAGTGGAGAGGGGAAAGTTGAAAAATACCTCTTTCCCTTTCCTATCCAGGTGAAAACCTTGCTTTTGGAGGGAATGGGGGGTGTTTTAGAAATCTTGAATGTAAGAGTCCTAGAAAAAGTAGGTGTGGACCTCTCCAGCCTCCACTGAGTCTAGCTGGAGGGCAGAAACTGCTTCTACCCCAGAACAAAGAACAGGGAAAATGTGCTTAGAGAAAAACAATGCTACACAGGACTGCTAAGTCAAGCAACCAGGGCAATGGCCAGCTAATAACTCCTGGCTGCTTCAATGAGTCATAAGCAGCCATTCCATTATGAACAAACTCCTATGGCAGTATTCCCAGTTAAAAACTGGCCCTTAGCTAGTTTTAGCTAACTCCACCCACAACATTATCTGTGACTGCATGGGAAAAAGACTCCCAAAGTGGTCTGTCTGCTGAACACCATCACTGGGCTCATTATGGTCTTTAATAAGAATAACATTATGATGATATCATTTCTAATGATGATGATGATGACAGCAACAATAATACTTGGCCCTGTAAGAGCCGTCTCCATCTGAGGACCTTCCATTACCAAGATTCAATCAGCCTCCCAACAACCCCGTTAGGTAAAGTTATCATTATCCCCCATTTTACAGACGGGGGAACTGAAGCAGAGTGGCAGAGACTTGCCAAAGGCACACAATGATGCTGGAGTCAAAGGAGAGAACTAACCCTAAAAGTCCCGACTCCTAGTTGGCTAGCTCTCCGTCCAGTTTTGAGAAAATCTAACAGCCACTCCCCACAACTTCGTCACAGTAACCTGAACTTATTCCTGACACTCAATCACTGAAGGAGCAACTGTAACCAGTGATTCGGTGAGGATGTCTGGCTCCATTCCCCTAAGTCCTAGGAAGAGGGCAAAGCAAAGCTTATTTCCTATTGGCATTCATGCTTCTCTTAGATCCTACTCTCACAAACACTCCGTCTGCTTCCTCTAGGATTTCAGCTCTACACACAAGGAAATGGGAGTCACATTCCTGATAAGAAGTTAATTTCCCAGGACAAAGAAACAGACTGAAGCTAACAGGTTAAAAAGACATGCAAAAGTAGGGGTTGGAGTGGACAGGGAGGACCTTCTTGTTCAGTGAAATTATCTTTAAAAACAGCAAGAAAAAGGAGAGCACTTTGTCTTTCATTTTAAGACAGTGGTTAGCCAATGAAAGACAAGACAGCCCATGGAAATAAAGCAAGCCCAGGCACTGCAACTGGGATTCTGCAGAGGGGCTCTCTCTGATACAGTGAGGTAAGCAGGGAGCCTCACCAGCAAAGAGCTGCTACAAGTGGCCAGAAGCATTAGAGGGGAAGACTGCTCTGTACTTTCTCCACAAGTCAGTCTCCTGTACGACCGTATTCCTCCGGACCCAACTAAGAACCTACTTCTGCTAAGGTTAGGGATATGCACCCCCAAAGCCCCCCAACACGTACTTGATGCTGTCGGTGTGGGTTTTGTATTCCATAATGGTGTTGGGAGGTAGATTAAGCACTCGCCGAAGCGTATCCCGGATTCGGGCTGTGGTTGCTTGGTCGCTGGCAGTCTTATTCCATATTGAAATAATGTCCTCCTACAGGAGGAACAGAGGGACTCATCAAAGCAAACCAGAGGCAGTGAGGAGAGCAAAGGCAACACATGAAACCAGACCTGCCCGCAGGAAGCTTACCTGAAACCGGACAGAGACTACAGCCCCACAGATCTCCTCCCCAACCATGAACTGTTCCCCCAACATGGCCAGGATGAGATTCTCCCAGCAACGCGATGCCAAGCCCTTCCGCAGCCGAATAATCCACTTGCCACCATTTTTATTTGCATCATCCTATAAAAAGACAGAAAGCATTAAAATTAAAATATGGTTTCACAGCTCCTTTTTCTTTTGCATGAACACTAAAAAGTTGTCACTTTCCAATTATTCAACTTTATAGGAAAAATGGTAGGAAGAGACAGAAAACAAAGAAAAACAAGGTGGGGATCCTTATACAAGCCATTACAAAAAGTGTCTGAACATAAGATTTAAAAAGAATTCTGCCCTAGAATTTCAAAAAAAAAAAAAAAAAAAAAAGAAGAAGAATTCTGCCCTGGCCAGGTGCTCAGTTGGTTGGAGCATCGCCCCGTACACCAAAAGATTGCAGGTTCAATTCCCAGGCAGGACACATACCTAGGTTAGGTTTGATCCCTGGTTGGGGCATGCACAGGAGGCAACCAATCAATGTTACTTTTTCACATCGATGTTTCTCTCTCTCCCGCCCTTCCTCTCTAAAATCAATAAACATGTTCTCAGGTGAGGATTAAAAAAAAAAGAAAAATCCTTTTTTGAAACTACTTTAGTAATCAAAATAAAATGTCAGATCTCAAACACAGATCATGCCTCACTTTGTTAAGAGTTTACCAGGTGTCCTCATGTCCCAAATACACAAATAGGAACCCACAGTCTCTCCCAGACCCAGTCTAGTTGAGGAGACAGACAAGAACATTAATTACAGCAGGATAGTCTGTTGAGAGCTGCTGTTTCAGAGGTATGCACAGTAAATTAAAGAATGAGACCTCCAAAAAGATTAAAAAAAAAAAAGAATGAGACCTCCAGAAAATACTCAAGAAGAGGGAAAATTTAAGCTGGGTCTTGAGGGACACAGGAGTCAGCCAGGTAGAGCAGGTGAAGAGGCTGAAGGCACTGGGAAGAGCATGAATCTGCGCAGACTTGAGTGTGAGATGGGGAGAGTCAAAGGAAGGTCCAGCAGCACCAAAGGGAAGATGTGGAGATGATGGGAGATGAGGCCTGAAAAATAAGCTAGCTGCAAGATCATGTGAGCAACGAAGAGCTGCATAACATTTGTAATTTTGTGGGTGGGTGGGTGGGAGGGAAGGTGTGATCATATCTGTCTTCTAGAAAAATGCCATGGTATCAGAATAAAAGATGGATTTCAGCAAAGCAAAGAGATCAGCTCTGGGTCTCCAATTAGTGCCTGTAAGCTTATTTTTTACCCACTTTAATCATAAGTATATTATGGTAATATACTACACACACAGCCAATTCTAAGGGAATAAGGAAAAAAAACAGCCCAGCCATTGTGGCCCAGTTGTTGAGCGTTGACCTATGAACCAGGAGGTCATGGTTTTATTCCCAGTTGGGGCACATGCCTGGGTTGCAGGCTTGATTCCCAGTGTGGGGTATGCAGGAGGCAGCCAATCAATGATTCTCTCATCGTAGATATTTCTATCTCTCTCCCTCTTCCTTCCTCTCTGAAATCAATAAAAATATATACTTAAAAAATTTTAAGATCAACCGAAGGACTTGTAAACACGTATATAAGCCAAACCAATGGACATGGACAACAGGGGGATGGGAGCATGAGTGTGCGGGGGGGGAGATTGGGGGTTAATGGGGGGGGATGAGGACACATTTGTAATACCTTAACTAATAAAAAAAATGTTTTTTTTAATGAAATCTATCCTTTAATGTTGTTACATACCATTTTAGTGATGAAACAATCTTTCAAAACCACCCAGCACCAACCCACCCAGACAAGCAATGGCACTAGTGTCTTTTCCTGGAGGTCCCCAGCTCTTAAGGATGTACCAAACAGTAATGCAGTTTTGAAAGAAGGCTTTAAAGTACTCTTTAACCTTAGTCCTCACCTCCCACATGGGTTTAATTCCTTCTTTGAAGAGATGGAAGTCACTGTGGCCTGTCAGGTCCCCAGGACGTACCATGTGGCTGTAAAACCTCCAGAATTGCTCCACCTGTGAAGAGAGGGCCCCAGAGTACAGAAGGTGTGACTTTTCTTTTTCTTTGACTGAATGCAAGACTTATCTAAGAGAAAAGCATAAACAGGGAAGACACACTGTTACAGGCTATACTTTGGAAGGATACATTTTCATTTGGAGGACTGTGTGGGAGGAAAGGCATGTTAGATGAAAGCATATGGTATAGCTGGATAAAAGAAAAATGTAATATTGTTGATACAAGAAAAACTCTAAGGCCTCAGCCAGGAACCTTGGCTGGTGAAGTCACATCAGTCAATATGCATCCTCCTGCAGAGGCCACAGATAACCACGGCATGCTGTCAGGAGGACCTTGTTTTACATAATGGAAACCCTTTGGTTCTAAGGTATATTAAGTGCCACATAACCTCAGTCTGAATGCATTTTTTAGAACCAAATATCCTCTTTTTAAAAAAAAGATTTTTTTTTAATTAATTTCAGAGAGGAAGGGAGAAAGAGAAAGAGAAACGTCGATGATGAGAGAGAATTATGGATCAGCTGCCTCCTGCACGCCCCACACTGGGGATCAAGCCCGCAACCCGGGCATGTGCCGTGACCAGGAATCAAACCATGACCTCCTGGTTCATAGGTTGATGCTCGACCACTGGGCCACACCAGCCGGCCCTAAACACCCTCTTGATCAGAGACTGTTTACTCAAATACAGCATTAGCTACAGTGAAATACATTTTAGTTCTATTTAGTTACTGAGCACAGTGATAAAATCAACCACATGCACTATGCTGTATCATGGTGCCTTGCTTAGGCCAGGACAGTCCAAAACCAAGCAGGACTTAGCCTCTAATACTTAGGGTTTAAGTCCCTCTTCTTCTTATATATATATATGTATATTTCAATTACAGTTTACATTCGATATTATTTTGTATTAGTTTAAGGTATACAGCATAGTGATTAGATAATCACATAATTTACCAAGTATTCTCCCAATATTTCCTGTACCCACCTGGCATCTTACACAGTTATTACAATATTATTAACTATATTCCCTATGCCGTACTTTACATTGCCATGACTATTTTGTAACTACCAATTAGTACCTCTTAATCCCTTCAACTTTTTCACCCAATCCCCCAACCCCTTGCTCCTCTGACAACCTTCAGTCTGTTCTCTTTAAGTCCCTCTTCTTACTAGAACATCTATGTTTCTCTTTGCCTCTCCTTCAAAGTCCTGTTAGAAAAGCAGGCACCCTTCTCTAGCAATTGCAGACTTATTTATACTCATCATGCTAGTCCTTCCTGTTCCTCTCAGTGGTGCCTTATGACATTACTTCCCTACCTCTCTGTCTCACAGAGGACACCTACAAAGTACTGGCCAGTGAAGAGGCACACTTTAGGAGGAAAGAGAAGATGTAGAATAGTCTGGAGAGAAACACTTGGTATTTGCCAACACACTGCCCAGGAGGCTCTAAACAGACACACAGCAAGACATCAGAATTGTGTAGCTGAAAATGGATACTGAGTACACAGAGATTCAGGTCATATTTCTAGATCTGGTTAGAAACTAAGAGACCTTACACTGTGTGCAACAGCTGTCCCTTCAGTCCTCTAAGAACAGGAACATAGGCAGTGTCTCATGTTACAAAGAAGTCAGGAATGAGTGCCATTTGTAGGACTTTCGTGCAGTCTCTCATTTCAGCAACTGCTATGCTTAACTGTATAAGGGATAGTAAATGGTCAAATGTATACAATGAGCAATTATCTTTTCAACCTGAACACAGTGGGAAGAAATAAAGTATACCAAGTAGAAACTGTGGCTCACTGTAAATTAGGAATTAGAGAGGGGCTGTGGGGTAGAAAGGTACACAAACCACCCCCAATTCCTCAATCAAGCATTGCTTCATTAATGGTTTGGCCTTCTCCAATCTTATAGCCAGACTATACAATTGTACAGTCACAATCTTTTTTTCTTTTTTTTAAAAAATAAATCTTTATTGTTCAGATTATTACAGATGTTCCTCTTTTTTCCCCCCATAGCTCCCCTCTACCTGGTTCCCACCCCACCCCATGCCCTTATCCCCCGCCACTGTCCTCATCCATAGGTGTAAGATTTTTGTCCAATCTCTTCCCGGACTCTTCACACCCCTTTTCCCCCGAGAACTGTCAGTCCACTCCCTTTCCATGCCCCTGCTTCTATTATATTCACCAGTTTATTCTGTTCATCAGATTTTTTAATTGACTTTTTAGATTCACTTGTTGATAGATATGTATTTGTAGTCACTTTGTTGTTCATAATTTTTATCTTTACCTTTTTCTTCTTCTTCCTCTTCTTAAAGAATACCCTTCAGCATTTCATATAATCCTGGTTTGGTGGTGATGAACTCCTTTAGCTTTTTCTTGTCTGTGAAGCTCTTTATCTGACCTTCAATTCTAAATGATAGCTTTGCTGGGTAGAGTAATCTTGGTTGTAGGTTCTTGCTATTCATCACTTTGAATATTTCTTGCCACTCCCTTCTGGCCTGCATAGTTTCTGTTGAGAAATCAGCTGACAGTCGTATGGGTACTCCCTTGTAGGTAACTAACTGTTTTTCTCTTGCTGCTTTTAAGATTCTCTTTGTCTTTTGCCCTTGGCACTTTAATTATGATGTGTCTTGGTGTGGTCCTCTTTGGATTCCTCTTGTTTGGGGTTCTCTGTGCTTCCTGGACTTGTAAGTCTATTTATTTCACCAGGTAGGGGAAGTTTTCTGTCATTATTTCTTCAAATAGGTTTTCAACATCTTGCTCTCTCTCTTCTTCTGGCAACCCCATAATTCAGATGTTGGTACATTTGAAGTTATCCCAGAGGATCCTTACACTATCTTTATATTTTTGGATTCTTTTTTCTTTTTGCTTTTCCGGATGGGTGTTTTTTGCTTCCTCATATTTCAAATCTTTGATTTGATTCTTGGGATCCTCTAGTCTACTGTTGAATTTCTGTATATTATTCTTTATTTCAGACAGTGTATGCTTAATTTCTGACTGTTCCTTTTCCATTTTCTTGGCATTCTCATTAAGATCCTTGAAGGTCTCACTAAGTTCCTCAGAGGTTTCTAGAAGTTTCTTGAGTAACCTTATAACTGTGGTTTTGAACTCTATATCCAGTAGTTTGCTTTCCTCCATTTCTTTCATTTGTGACATGTTTCTTTGTCTCCGCATTTTGGCTGCTTCCCTGTGTTGATAGAGTAGCTTTGTGTGGTAGGTGTCCTATTTGGCCCAGAGGCTCAGCCTCCCCAATCACCTGAGGTGGACACTCTTGGTGCACCCCTTTGTGGGCTGGGTGCATAGTCTTGTTGTAGTTAAGCCTTGATTGCTGTTGGTATCACTGGGAGGAATTGACCTCCAGGCCAATTGGCTGTGAGGAACCGCTGTGTCTATAGTGGAAGAACTGCTGTGCTGGAGACACCCTTATGGGGCAGGACTTGCTTCAGTGGGGCTTTGGTGCTCACTGAGTCTGCCTCTTGAGTGTGTCACTTATGGATGTGAGGAGTTGAAATCTGGTATCTGACCACTGGGCACACTGGCTCCTGGATCTCCAAGGAGGTGCAAAGAGGCCACCCAGCAGTAGCTACAGCGAGATCTGCAGATTTCTCCTCTTTGTTTGGGGTTTGAAAGTTTTGGAGCTCTCTGACCCAGCTGCAGTTTGTTAGGTTAGGCTGTGAAAGGACAGGACATTCATATGCAAAAGCCTCAGCGCAGAGCTTGGGTGGGTTGTAAATTGGGTGGAGCGGGGTCTCAGGGAATCACCAGGGCGGAGCAAACAGCGATGGCTGCCAGTCACACATCTTCATGTCTCTGGGTCTCTGTGTCCCGTGCCCCCACGAAGTAACAATGATCCCTGCGAGCACCTCTGCGAGAAAGCCACCCTCGCTTTCTGACCCGATGCCAGACAGTCCAGTTTCTCCCCTTAGGAGGTCTGGGTCCCCAGAGTCTCACCGGAAACTGGAGTTCAGAGCAGTCGGGAGCTTGTATCTCCCTTCTAATTGAAAAAAACAGTGCACCCAGTTGCCAGCCTGTTTCGCACGCCTCCGTACCTCTGCTCTTGGTGCCTCCGCACCTCCTACCCAGTCTCAATGCGCTTTTTTCTTTCCTTCTAGTTGTAGAACTTCCACTCAGCCAGCTTTCCCGTGGTTCTGGATGATAACCGTTTTGTCTTTTAGTTGTAGTTTTGGTGTGGTTGTGGGAGGCAGCACGTATAGGTGTATACCTTATGCCGCCATCTTGGTTCTCTACAATCTACAGTCACAATTTTATGTCTAAACCATGAGAAATGAAGTAGACAGCTCAAGAAATAGTATTAAACTTTAAAAGACGTTTTTCCTTCTCTTTAGGCAATTTTGATTTCTGAAACTCTTCATTGAAACAAAAAAATAAAAGAAGTGTTCAGACTCAGAATATGAGGTGCAGAAAAGACCTCAGAACTACCTTACTTTACTCATTTTATAGTTGAGAAAATGGCTTCAGAACTTGCCCCAGCCCACAGAGTCAAGCACCAGATAAATGAGCCTTGCCACTCCCAAGTCCAATGCTCTTCCCATTTTAAAACACTGCCTTCTTAGTCACCTGATTTCAAGAACTTTTACTAGTTCAATACTAGGATTAAAGACAAATGGGAAATACTGCTTTGGATTTAATAAAAGATTTCACAATGCAATTATTTCTCTGTGAGGATTTAATATCGTGAGGCTTTTCTTAATGCCTTGAATTACATGACAGCTGACTTCAAACACTGTCACACATCCAGTGAGTACTAAAGAAGCATGAACCCCAGATGATGCTCATGACCAACTCTATTCAACTTAACATATATGCGAAAAGAGGAAACAAAACCCTCCTTTCACAAGCTGGATAACTCCACATATGCTTTCTTTAAGAGGGAAACAAAAGTGCTACATATATTTGTAAATACTACAAAATAACTGAACAGAATCCTGAATGAAAACTTACTCCCCAGTTCAGTGTCTTCTCTGATCCTCCAAATGCTCAACCAGATGTTCATAAATAAAGGCTGCTATTTTACCTGTAAGGTCATTCCATTCCCATATAGGAGGTAATAAAAACTTATGTGATAGATTCAGAAATGATAGGACTACAATTAGGACCCCTGAACAACATGGGTTTGAACTGCCCGGGTCATTTGAAAAAACAGTGTAAATGGACACTCCTTGTGCTTCCCAACAGCACTTCTGTCTCCCTGTATTAGAATTCCTAGCTATGTCTTATTTCCCTAATGGCAAAGGAATTAATTCATTTTAGAACCCTACTAATCCCTTAAATTCATTCAACAAACATTTCTTGAACCAAATATGTGCACAAGCTATTTTTAATATTTCAAAAGAGCCTAAATTTACCAGTGTTAAGGGAGCATATATCAATTCAGTATAGTAATGGGATGACCTAATTACCAGTTATATGTGTAGTATATCTGATCAATAATAAATGGATCAATAAATGTAGCTTGTCTAGTACGACGCAAACATTTAAAAAACTGGAGCCTCATATCATGCATTCTGGTATATTGGAAAGGTGAAAGAATATGGGCTTTGGAATGGGGCTTTTATAACCTGCCAAACCTGAGTTTCAACACTGGTTCCTCCACTTAGTCAAGTAAATTACAACTGACTTGACTTTAGATCAGATACTTAACCCAAGTTTCACTTTTCTCATTTGTAAAATATGGATAACATCACTGACCTCAAAAGGCTATCATAAGGATCAAAGGAAGTTACATAAAGTTGCTATTACTGTGTCTTCCCTCCTTATTACTTTACTGTAACATTTACTGCCTATTAAAGTTTCCTTTTCCAGTGTCTGCATTTTAAACAGGGCAGATACCCCAATAATTTCAAGAAAATAACAAACCCTGCATTTGACTCTGCCCAGAGATAGAATGTATAGCATATAGGAAGTACATAATCTGTGTTGAACAAGACAGCTTCTTAGGGAACACAAACCTAGCTACCTATGAGGGTGATAAGACAGTGCCTGGGCTCCCTGTTCTGACAACATCCACAAAAACATTAGATACTTCCTTTTCTTTCTGAAGACAGGAAAAATATGTTATTTTATACATAATCACAAACAGACCCAAAACCCTAATGAAAGGTTCTTAAATACAAAGGAAACTTTTGAACTTTACTCTTGACTTAACCATCAAGCTTCTTGAGAATAGATACCATGTACTATAAAATTTTCGCCCTGGCTGGCATGGCTCAATTGGTTGGAGCATTCTCCCATGCACCAAAGGGTCTTGGGTTTGATTCCTGGTGAGGGTGTGTATGGGAGGCAGCCAATTGATGTTTCTCTCCCCCTCTCCCTTCCTCTCTAAAATAAATTTTTAAAAAATTATATCTCCACCCACCCCTGGACACTTTGCACACAGTAAGGACTCACTAAATATCTACTTAAATAAACCTGTATTTTTGTATTGTCCCTTTCTGATCAATTCCACAATTACACACTAATTACCTATGGATATCTAATGAGAAACCTAAGAATGAACAAATCTGACCTCAGACACTCAGGTCAGCTGACTAAGGAAACCAGAATCGTAGAGATTACCAGGAGGATAAATAAACATGATGATACAAATACAGGCATGAATTTACTACTGAGGCTCACTAAGTACTCACAGAAGCAAAGGTGCCAATCTGTTTGATATTCTGTTCATAGCTCTGTGAGCTGGTGGGTCGGCCGGGGGTTCTCCTGGAGTACCAGAAAGTGTAGTTGTACTGCAAGGGATGCTCTGCTGGTCCCGGGACAACAGCCTGTATATTAAAGGTGTGTTAGTCCTGGCCATTTATCACATGCTCTGAGACTGAGAAAACATTTTATAGCATCACCCCTTACTACCTCCCCAATTTAAAAAGGATGCATGCTCGCCCTAGCTGGTTTGGCTCAGTGGCTAGAGTGTTGGCCTGAGGACTGAAGGGTCACGGGTTTGATTCCCGGTCAGGGTACATGCCTAGGTTGTGGGCTTGGTCCCCAGTGGGGGGCGTGCAGAACTTGCCCCAGCCCATAGAGTCAAGCACCAGATAAATGAGCCTTGCCAGGAGGCAGCCAATCGATGATTCTCTCTCATTGATGTTTCTATCTCTCTCCCTCTCTATTCCTGTATGAACTCAATAAAAATATTTTTTTAAAAATTAAAAAAAAAAGATACATGCTCAATTACCTGCAATGTGCTCAAGATTCTGCTTGCACAGTAAATTTCTATAGTAGTTAATGGATTCTAAATTCCTGTAACATTTTACCTATGTTCTTATAGCTTTTGTAACTTTCTACTTCATAAGTATTTATGTTTGTATATTATCTCTACATATTCCCAGGTCCAGCACCACTTCCTCTAGGACACTATCACTTATTGGCTAGTCATCTAGGACAAGTTGTTTAACCTGTTTGTGCCTCAGCTACTCAGCTGAAAAATGGGTAATCATCATCTCATATGGGTGATGAAAGGATAAAATAATTTAATAGATGTAAAGTGCTTAGCACAGTGCTTGACACATAAGCAGTACTCAACAGCCCGGCCAGCCTGGCTCAGTGGTTGAGCGTCGACCTATGAACCAAGATCAGGGTTCGAGTTCCAGTCAGGGTACATGCCTGGGTTGCGGGCTTGATTCCCACTGTGTCAGCTGACTAAGGAAACCAGAAACCAGAATCCAGGAGGCAGCTGATCAATGATTCTCTCACTGATGTTTCCATCTCTCTTCCTCTCCCTTCCCTCTGCCTGAAATCAATAAAAACATATTTTAAAAAGTACTCAATAAATATCAGCTACTATTATTATCACCACTATTAAATGTTAGCTCCTTGATCCATAGTTTCATTGACCTTTGTGTCCTCTTAGCCCTGAAATGCTTGTATTTGGAGGGTACTCAATATTGCAGAATAAAGCAATTAATGATTGCTTTATTTAGTTGATCCACGTATTTCTATTCTCTAAATTTTCTCTTTTCCAAGTCATTTTAGTTTAGACTATTACTGACTAAAGAGTCTAAAATTTCAAGGGATGGACAGGATTTTAAATACTCAGCAGCGGATTATGAAGCAAATAATGCCTTGTTAACGGCAGGGTTATTCTCCCCTACCTCAGGCTAGCAGAATGCTGGAAAGCAAGGCGGCATCTCAAGGTCCTGTGGTAAGGGAACAGTTCTGACTGCCAAAATGAACTCCAATGATTCAATAATTTTTTCTTAAGAACAAAATCAGGTATTACAAAATAGTGTACAATTGTTAACCTGGTATCTTCCAGATAAACAGATTCCATGAGATAACCAAGTTTCTAGTCCTAACTCACCTTCCTCTTGCTGCTGCTCTGACTTTTGTCCCGTTCCATTTTTTCCTTCTCACCATCTTTCTGTGTGCTGTTTTCTTCATTCTGATCATGGTCACCACTGTCATCATCTTTCAATCTAAGTAGAAAGGCAAAACAATGTTATCCCATGACTGAACTGATTCTTGCTTACCCAACAAAGCCACCAGGTCAAATGAACTACCATGGAAAAAGCCCAAAGTCACTCAAAATACTAGCAATGAGATGAGAGAAGGGCAAGGAAATGTAGAATGTCAATTAGGAAGATAAAACAAAAATGAAGTGCCCATTAGCTAATGTGTGAATTCCAGAAAGCATCATCTTCCAGTTTCATAACAGGCTGCACAAAGAAGCAAGAGGTAAACAGTTTAAGGAACTGTTTTCTTGACCAAAAATAAAGAGTTAATAATCAGAAGAGTTTCTGGATTAAGTAACTGCGTTGGCATTTCGAATGACATTTTAAAATTTACCTCTCCTGTCTAAGCCCGTTTTGCTTCGTGTTTGGAGCATCGGACCTTGGACTGAAGGGCCAAGGGTTCAATACCTTGTGTTGAAGGCTCGATTCCTTGGCCTCCTGGGAGATGCGTGCGGGAGGCAACCAATTGATGTGTCTCTCCCCCTCTCTCTTAAAAAAATCAATGGAAAAAATATCCTCAGGTGAGGATTAACAAAACAAAAACAAACAAAAAACTTACCTACCTATTCTTCTTGTTCTGACCATCTCTCCTATCCTTCCCAACTGCTACTGCTTTAGTCCAGGCCCTCTTCTTATCATCTCAATTATTACAATAAGTTCCTAAATGGTTTCCCAACACAAATTATATCCTCCCTCTATCCATCCTCCACATAGCCATCAGCATGATCTTTCTAAATGCAAACAGTCCATTTAATTTCCATGCTTAAAACACTCAACTGTCCCTTGCCCTTTGCTGCCCACCCTGAAGGATAAAGTACAATGAAATGCAAGACCCTTTAAAATCTGACTCCTGCCTGCTAGCACCGCCCCCCCAAAGCATCTATATTCCCACATCTGTGCTCTTTGCAAGTACTCCCCCTCAGCCTAAAGTGCCATTCCTCCCACATCTGTTTTTCCTACTAGATGGAGGGATTCCTTAGAACAGTGTCTTATTAATCTTTGAATATCCAGCACCAAGGGAAGGAAGATGCTGAATAAATGATAAATGAAAAAAAAAATATGACTGAAAGAAGAAATAAATGACTTCATGCCTATAAGTATGATTAAATATATTTTAGGAGCTACCGTTTTAAGAGCAGTGAAACTACCCTAATGCTTTCAGGTCCAGCTAATGTTCACTGGATTCAGACAAAAAAATAAACAGAAAGTGAGTTCACAAAGATAATTAGAATGCTGTTTAGTCTGGAGCTGGACCACTTACTTATCATGGATCTTCTCTGAATTCACCTTTCTGTCCCTAATGACTATCTAGTCAAATGGAATTAGGTAACTCTCACGAAAGGTACTAGAAATGCTCAAATTATAACTCAGATATTACCCTACACAGACACAAAAACCTTTTGTAAAGCACCCCTTTTATTTCTGCCCATGAATCTTCACTGCCTAGCACATAAAAAGCATTCATTAAATATTAGAATTCATGAGCTAGCCATGTGTTGGGGTCCCTGCTTTGCCCAGTTCACAGTCCTAGTTGTAGAATATACTCAGGTGGCCATGCACTGTACCATAAATGGCCCCATCCCCATCCTGGACACGACGTGACTATGAAGGGCACCTGACCAAAGGGCAGTCTAGCCTGATCAATAACCCATGCCTCAGGGCCTTGCTCAAAATTATGAGCAGATTCCTTTCTCAGCTTTTCATACAAAAGATGAACGATCACAGAGTCAGAGGTGGGGCAGGCATATAGGTCCCACACAAGAAAAGCCACAAAAAAATAAAGACTATGAGCAAAGGCAGAGAAAGCCAGTTAGTAAAAGGGAATGGAGCAGAGGAGCTGAGAGAGTAGAGATTGGCTTTGATTGTAATGCTATCATTCCACTGGCTTCGTTTGGCCTTCCTGGACTTCTGGGAAATCATTATCTATGCTATGATACCCTTCCCCTTATGAAATTTGAGTTGGTTTGGTTTCCTTTCCGAAAGGAGCCTGTATAGCACACAAGTCCCACAACATTTACCGAGTACCTATTGTTGGTATCAGACACTAAAGAGTTTCTGTCCCCAAGGACCTGACTGAGGACACACACACATACTCAGGTCTCAGCATGGTACAAAGGACCCTCTCTACCTACATGTGCCAATATCATCTCCTGCCTGGTCCCAACAAACTCCCTTCACTGTAGTAGTGATCAACCTATTTGCAGTTCCCTGACCTCACCCGTTATGCTCATTATGTGGTCTCTTCTTAGAGAACCCTCTTCCCCTACCTACACTGTCCCTCAGGACTAAGAGTGAGGACCACTTTCTCTTAGGAATCTTTCCTAATCTCTCCTGAGGCTGAGCCTAGGCACCCCTCTTCTGGACTTCCCCTAATAACTGTTTGTACTTGTCCCAGCTATATTGTCATGGCCAGTTTTTTGTCTCCTGATTGAGAACATGGGTTTTTCTATTGCTTAGGCCCAAGACAGTTCCTAACTCTCTTCCTTAGGGCAGACTCCAGGAACTCAAACCATTTCCCTCCCTTCTCAGTTTCCAAACCTCCACGCTATCCTCTGGGTTCCCTATCCTCTGGGTTCCCGTGCCTTAAGTCTTGGTTGAAGAGGGACACAGTCACCCAGCATCTCTCATTTTGCTATTCCAAGCAAAACATGTAAGTTCCTTTCTCTGTAGCAGTTTTGCTGCTAATCACTACTAGAAAACAGCAAAATAACAAAATAATTATGTCGAGATAAAACAACACTACTGTGATTCCTGAACCATACTTTCAGACTCCCTTCTAAGACAGGCATTGGAAACCCTATTGGACCTTCATCCTGTGTAGTTATCTCTTGAGGGTGGAGCTAACCTACACTTAAGGCAAGTTATTTGCATCCTATCTTCCAGAGGTTACTCTTCCTAGTGTGAAGCTAGATTTGGGCCAAAATATAATCCAAACAGAAAAATCAGTGCTCCCTCGACTCAGGTGGGCAATTAGCATGTCTGAAGCTGTCCAGACCGAGTTGCATCTAAATAGCTCACCAAGCTCTTGCTCAGATAAGTCCTCATACTTTCTGACTAGACAGATTCCTTGTGGGGAAGGACTTGTCTAATTAATTTCATATGTACAGGTCTAATTAATTTTTATATGTATAGCATCAGAAAAGAAACATGATTAGTGAATGGATTTCTAAAATCAAAACAATACAAGTCAGAATACGATGAATGCCAAATAAGTAGTTCAGACAATAGTTAAGAATGGGCCAAAAGCTAACAAAGACTGAGGGACAAAATCAAGTTTGGCATCTAGATCTGAAAACCAAGTTATCACTGTTGGGACTGCAGTACAGTGAAAGCATCTTAGGGTTTTGCATATGAATTGGATCAATGGCAATGGTAACTAATGACTTGATAGATGTGTGTGTGGGGGGGTTGGGGGGGAGCAATTATAGTCTTCAATTACATTCCTAGAAGTGGAGCCCACACAGTAAAGGAGGCTCCAATTCTTCACTGATCTGAGCCCATCAGATTAGACTACAGTACTCAACTCCAGGCACTGGATTTTTAGGATTCTGGCAAATTGAACCAAGTCCTTAGGAACTGCTGGTGAAGAGTGCAGAGGCCAAGTATGTAAGGTCTAAAAACTGTAATTTTTGTAAAAAAAAACACACAACAAAAACAACTAAAGCAAAACTAGGGGGAGGAGTGCTGTTTTCAATCGCTAATTTCAAATGAAAGAAAGCTTTGGTTTTTTCCTTTGTAGCTAGAAGACAGACGTTAAAATATTCTGGGTCAGTGTAAGGAATAGTTAATAATTAGAACAAATTAAAAATGACCCAGGTTAATTTTTGTCAAGAGGTGCTTGAACCAAGGTTAAAGAAATCTGGGTTTGAAAGTCATCATATGGCCCTTTCTGTTGTTGTGTGCAAGTTACTTAACCTCAAAGCACCTCATTTTCTTTATCTGTAGAAGGAGGTAACAAGATCCCCTTTGCAGGGTTGTTAGGAGTAGAAATATTATATGAAAAGTATCTAGCAAGCTGCCCTGAGAAGCCATTATTAACATTCTTTAATTAACTTACTGCAGACCTCCAATGGGTAGGATGATGCCAAATGATCCTTAAAGTATCTAAGGATAAACTTTTGATTTGTTCAATTCAGTGGAGGAAGGGGTACAGGATTGGCAGACAGCTCCACTGAGGCAGGTCTTGGATCTGGCAGTAGGTGTGGCAGGGTTTATGATAGAGAAGAGGTTAGTATAGGGATGGATTCAGCTAAGCAGCTGGCTGCAGAAGTGCTCTGCCAAAGACTACTAGAAGAGTCCTCTCCTGCCTGGCCACGGTGACTCAGTGGTTGAGCATCAACCCATGAACCAGACTCCTCGTCAGGGTATCTGCCCAGGTTGCAGGCTTGATCCCTGATCGTGCAGGAGGCAGTCAATCAGTGATTCTCTCTTGTCATTGATGTTTCTCTCTCTCTTCCTCTCTGAAATCAATAAAAATCCTATATAATATCCTATATAATAAAAGGCTAATATGCAAATCAACCAAACAGTGGAACCACCGGTCACTATGGTGTGCACTGACCACCAGGGGGCAAACCCTCAACATAGGGGCTGCCCCCTGGTGGTCAGTGCACTACCACAGGGGGATCACAGCTCAGCCAGAAGCCAGGCTCTGCAGGACTTCTGCGAGCCTTTCCTGCTTCTGTGGCAGTCGGACATTTCCCCCCCACCCCCCACCCCCCCCACTCCAGGGCTCCGGGACTGCAAGAGGGCCTGGGCTGAGGGATCCTTCTCCCCCCCCACTCCCCCCCCCTACACACACATGAATTTCGTGCATGGGGCCTCTAGTATTTTATAAAATGAGTCCTCTCCCCACAACCAAGAAATGTTCTTGAGGAGCTGTCTGGAGTGCTGGAATCCATGACCTCTGAATATGCACATCAGCACTCACTGTACTGGGGGGAAAAACAGCTCCCCATCAGCAGCGGCAGGTCACAATCTAAACGAATAGTAATTTCACTTTGCATTTATACATCACCATGTAGCAATTTACAAAACACCCTTAAGCAGAGCTGAATCTGATTTGACCCTTCTAACACCCCTGTGCGGCAGCAGGGCACTGAAGTGGCTTGGGTAACCCTGGCTCGGAGACTGGGAAACTTTCCTGCTGTCAAAGTAACTGGTAACTGGTGGGTCTGGGACTGGAAATCTAGGTCTTCCGGAGAGCATCGGATTCACTAGACTACTTAAAGGAGAGCTAAGAACAAAATCTCCCTAAAGGTACAATCGCTGTCGGGAAATATGGAAAATTACTTTGCATTTCCTTTCTGCATCTCCAGTTTGTGGCTGGAACTAGGAATCGGATGGGGTACAAACAGAAGTCCGGAAGGGGCCGGGGCAAATACACCCGCTGGGCAAGAAACCGAGAGTGTGGGGAGGGGAAAGGAGGGGGAGGAGAAAGGAAGCAGGAAGGAGTCCCAGGAAGGCGACGAGAACTCCGTTTAACTGAGCAGCCACGGTGCCGAGCGCAGCAGCCACGTTACCTCAGCGCATCTGCACAACTCGAGGCACGGCTGTGACCTTCCCACTGTGCAGAGGAGAAGCCGACTCGGGAGAGGCGACCTGCCCAGGCCAGAGGAGGAAAGCTGGATTCGGAAATTCAGAGCAGCCGGCTGAGGAAGCACCCCTACCCCTCCACGCCGCTGGCAACCCGCACCCGCCGGGGCGCGGCGTCCGAAAACCTCCTTCCGGGCGGCACAACCACCCCCCTCCCGTCCCCAGCGCCTCGCCCCCGGTCCGGACTGCCTTGGGGTCCCCGGAACCCTTGCACCCCGCCTTCCCGCCGGCCGCCTGGGCGGACTCCACCCGCAGCCCGCTCCCGGGAGGGAGCCCGGCGCCGTGGAGCGGGCGCCGCCGCCAGGCGCGGCGGGGACGGGTGCGGGGAACGGTTGGGGGAAGGGGCCCCGGGAGGCGGCCGCACGCCACTCACGCGTCGAACTTGTTGTTCATCCTCTCGCTGTCGCCACTGCCTCACGGAGTGACTTCCGCTCCGCCCGGTCCCTCCGCCTAGGGCCCGGCCACTTCCGGTTGCGCGGGGAGCCGCGGAACGTAGGCTCGCGGGCCCGGTGGGGGGCGGATATCCCGGGACGCCAGCCCAGGGCGGCTGCGCGGACGTGCTCGGGCTCGGGGACGGCACCGGCTGCGGAGGTCTGACGGGTCCCTGGCGCCCGCCCGCCCCGTGGCTCCGAGGAATCGCTCCCCGCCCAAGGCGGCGCGCGCTGACCCCTCCCGAGGCTCCGGGAGGGAGATCGCGCCGCAGCGCGACGGCGCGAGCTCTGCACTCGGTTGGGCACAGATCCCGACCCAACCCCCAGAGCGGGCTGAGCGATCCCGCACTCAACCTCCCCTTTTCCCTCTTTGTTACCGGCGATGCTATAGTACCCGCCTCTTCAGGTTGCCGTGTGGATTGAACACGATAATCAATTCAGGCGCTAGGCAAAGTGACCTTAAATAAGTGGCAGTTATTGTTAACCATTGCTTACTGGGGCCAGGAGCTACAGAGCTCACCTCCGCCCCTGAAGCCCCTTCACTGAGCTGTCAGTGAAGTTGGGAGACTCATCCCAGGTGACGAGTCTAGCAAGGCTTACAGGGACCAGAGCTGGTTCCACCATCATCAAATTGCCTCCTGGATTTAGTCTCTGCTCCAAACACAGCGGGTGCACACACGCACACACTGGAGTAAAGGAAATGGTGATTGAGCCCCAAAGCCAGCAACCCTGTAGTTGGGAGAGGGGATTATTTCCGGGATACTCTTCCCACCCCCAACAATGTTGCGTTGTCAGGGCTTTATGTGGCACTTACACATTTTTTAATCACCTTCACCCGCACCTTTGATCCTGTAATGATCCTAAACTCATACCTGAGCCCACAGTTAGAGATGAGGCAACAGAGGCTCAGAAAGCACAAATGACTTGCTTAAGTGTACCCTCTTATCACCGACAGAACTCGCGCCCCATCTGTACTCTCAAAGCGTGGCCTTGCCTCTCCCAGGAAGATGTCAGCTAGTCCTCTTGTTTCCTAAGTGGGGTCAAGGGAGGCTGGTCAGGGTCTCCTCCCTGAAGGCAGAGCCCAGCAATTCCCTGTTACCTCCCAGCCTCCCTACCTAGCTCTTCCTTAACCATTCTTTCGGGACCAGTGCAAATTCCCTGCCCTTTGAGAAGAGAAGCGGGGAGGGGTCTGTTTTCCAGGCTGTGGGATCTTTCTCAGTGTCTAAGATTGGGTCAGAGTTGGGAATGCTGGACTCCAAACCATAAAGCAACCAGTGTTCTGGGAAGCCACTCTTACTCGGCTCCAATTTGCCCATCTGAAACATTAGGGATATAGTGACTTGCTTTTTCATGAAGCTGTGAGGAGCTCTTAACAATGGGAAAAGATAATAAAACTCATGAAATATGTTGTGATCAATGGCAAAAAAAATGCATATGAATAGAAAAATCACTGGTGCAGATGAGTACTGGGTGCAGTAAGGCAGTGGAAGGAGATGGCAGCTGGGGTGAGCTGCCATCTTCTTTTGAGAGATCATCGGCTTCGATTCTTCACATTTCTCTTGACTTCCCTCTTTTAAGAGCTTGTAGGGAACTCATCAAAAGAAAGGGAGGCCCAGGCTTGGAGAGATAGGACCTTACTTAGTTGGGGGCATCATGCAAAATGGAGTCGTTAGGACTTCAAAAATTCTGAGAGTTGATAATGCTTTGCCACTGGCCCCCCACAGCACACCCTGCCCACAGCCCATCCTCAACCACTCCACGACTCCAGCTCTGTCTCTTTATTTCTCCAGCTTTTCTCAGGGCTGTTTGGCTTCCACGGCCCTGAAGGATGCTTCCATGACCTCAGCAGAAGGACACAGCTGGTAATTCTCTGAATGGTTAACAGCAATTGGTTGACTCAGTCAGGAGAGGGCAGGTAGGGGTGAGGGTCTCCAGGGAATGGCAGGGCGGGCACCCGGTTGTAGTGCGCCACGAGGAAGATGCCGGCAGTGCCACAGACAAAGAGGGAGAGCATGGCCAGGAAGCAGACACGGTCCAGCACACGGCCCACTAAGAACCACTCCTTGTTCCCCTGAGGGTGGAGGCAGAGTGTGGGATGACCAGCGGGGGCACAAAGCCTGCCCTGGGTCCTGAACCGTCCTTGGCCTTCCAGCAGGCCTCCATTCTCCATTTCCTTGGGCCCTTCTAACCTACTTCCAAGTTCCCACCTGGCTTCTTCCATGGTCCCCTCGCCCTGATGCCCCCCCTCCTCCCCAATCCCAACTCTACGTTTTCCATCCCATTGCCCTACCATGGTCACCCCATTCATCCTGTCCCCATGTCAGGTCCCAGCCCCTCACCAGGTACTCACAGCAACCTCCCACTCCCAGACT